CTCAAGATACAGCAAAAGCTGCTAAGCAATTCTTGGTCTTAGCTACTGAAAACTTGAAGTCACCCTCACTGGAAGTTTCATGAGCAACAAGGGATAAGAAAACCTGTGGAACTAGCAAACTCTCACCTACATCTACTTTAGCATTCATCTGGAGTAATGGGAAGACATAAGTAAAAAACTACAGCCAATGTTGATAGGTCCCTCATATTCGACAAGCTTATACAACTCTGATAATCAATGGAAGTCAACATTCACCAGTCCAAAGACAAAAAAGGAAAAATGTCAAAGGAAAAGGAAATGAACCATCAAAGACAATACAAAGAAGTGATGTTAATTCCTCTTTCCAATAAGTTCTTCTAAATTAAAAATAACTTAATTATTCACGAGTTAAGACTGAAGTAGCAACCCAGAAAAACAGTATGCTCAGGCTCATTTTCTCATTCTTCCTCTCTCCTATTTACCTTTTCTTCTTCCAAGTATCTTCTCCCTACCTAAACTCCTCCTTTTCTTTAAATTCTTCAGCCTGCCCCTAATTTCAATCGTGTGCTTTTTGAAAAAGAACCATGTCTGTCTTTTTGCTGTTGAACAGTCAATATAGTTTAGCTTCATCTACACTAGAGTTTCAAACTCTTCAGAACCCAATCTTCAGTAAGAAATACAAGAACACACAAGCATTTTGTATAACAATACTTATTCTTTCTACACATGATGTACTTGATATTTTCTACTCTAGTATATTTAATTCTTTAAATGCTGGTTGGACTTAGTAAATTGATTATAAAACCTATCAAAACCAACAGGATGGAAAACAAGGAGCAACACCTACAGTATACTGGCAATAAGTATACATAAAGAGAAAAGGTTTTGGAAGAAATGTTTTGACTGCCATAGAAGATTAGCACAAGAAAATATTAATTTGTAACAAGTTCAATTATTTTACCCTAAAATAGCCTAGGCTTACTATCTAATACTAATCAAGTCTCAGGAATTATGAAACATTCCATAAAATTTCCAACATATGATGCTATTTATTTTTACACTGCTATGCTAAGGTATGCCTTACATTTCCATACGAAATAAATAAATTCCTAATATACTTAGTGTTAGTCTTGACATCCCTGTTCTCACTCATACTGCAATATACTCTTTAAAAAAAGAGAAATGGAAAAATAAAAGCCACCACTTACTGAACATGCTTCTACCATTTGCTAGCACTGGGTTAGGTCAAATAATTGTACTTATCCTTAGAATAGAAGGACTGTTAGGTGACTAGTATAAAGGAAATAAGTGCTCAGCCTGTATTTCTGATGACATTTATGATGATCCTAATCGAGGACTTAAATAAAAATAAAAAAATTAAACCAAACCTAATCATCTGTGTTAAGTGGCCATTTTAATAATTTGGTATGATTAATAAATTCTACTCAGGAAAAGCTAACAAAGAGGAACAATATAAGAACACAGAAAAGATTCAGATCCTTCTGATCAAGCCATCATCACCTCACTTAAATGACCCACATGTGACAAAAATGTGAATTAGCTTTAAAACTACTCTAATTCATTAAGTTTAAACCACAGTACCTGATGATGCACTCTAGTAACAAGTTTATCACTCAGACTATTTTGTGTGTGCATATCTACACTAAATAAGCTATAAAATTACTGTTATTTAAGGATAATTTAAATGAAATGTTATAAAGTCCAATATTCAGAAAGCATCAAAAAGTAGTTATCCACATATAGATAGCCTTGCATTTTTTTGTATTGAGTAATATTATCTTACACCTATTTTTTTAAGTAAATTGGTTAAGAATTCCCTAAAATTCCAATTTCCCATTTCAAAGTAGAGGACAGCCAATTTAATTAGTAATGTACTCATTTCATCATTACTAGCAAATTAGTTTATTAATGTAAAAATTAACTTCTACTTCCACAACTCTACTGTAACTTGCTCTAGAGTTACACTAGTAACATCAAAACTATTATTTTATAAACAAACAACATACAAACCATAATCACTTCAACAGCTTAAAAAACAAGACAAAACACAATCTTTCAAATCGTACTGGATACAACTGGAAAATAAACATTATTAAATTTGAAAGTGATCTATGACCTTAAGGCACTCTTACCTGCTTTCTTTTCTGCCCATTGGCTTAATCCCCCTCTTCCTTTCTAGAGCTCTACTTATTTCCTCCCTCAAGCTGTCAGCACCAACAGCAAGAAATGCTATCTAACAACAAAAATCAGAATTGTCTGTTTTCTTATAGTCGTGATACTGTAATGAAGAAAACATTAATCTTATCAATATAAAGAGTGAAATCAGCCTAACTAGGAATAAAATGAAATTGATGGAAATGTAGCAAGTCAGACAGACTCTTGCTGACTCCATTTTTAAAAGGAACCTATTTTCAGCATAAACCTACGGCATATGAGATGACAACTGCATTAATATAAACAGCCAAACACAAATATACAGCATGTACCATAAAGTTTAACTACTACTATTCTCCTGTTTCAAATATTGGGTCTTTTGAAACTCAAAATAAACATTTTATCATTTAAGGCAGATCTAAATTATCGAATTTAACCCCAACAAACAATCTCTTTCACTATTCATCACAGACCTAAAAAAATAATGTTAAAAATTAAATTAGGTCAATTCACTATGTGAAAACTTCTTTAACCAACTTGTTTTTTATACAACGTTAGATAATGAGAATCAAATAAGACACTTCTCCAAAGTGTAGAAATCAAGTCATACACAAGGACCAGTTGATCTATTTCAATAATTAAATGTAAAGAAGATACTGGCATTCTTCAATTACCTAAATTCTCAAATAACTTAAAGATGGTAAGTACTATTACTCATGATAGATTTCTTGACAGCTTTTTCCAATCTTATCTTTCTTTTCTTGCTCTTTACCCAAACTTCTATGGTTGGTAACTCCCACTTTCAAGATCTCCTACTACAACTTAAAAATACCCGAGACTTCACAGACACTGCCTAGCCCCAAAGCCTACAAAATAATTGCTTAAAAATTCGAGTCTCTTGTTCTCTATTACTGAAAAACACAACAGAAGTTTACTTAAGAGACTATATTTTTTTTACATCACATCAAACTTACAAAAAGACAAAATATGAAGGATACTACTAAAACTTAATTTACTTTAAAATCTATTAATAAAAATAAAATGAATTTGGTGAAATACTTATTTGACTTTTTTGCTTATTTGGCTTAAATTAAATATCTACCAAAATACAGATATAAGAAACCAAGTACAAAAAAACATATTTAGTAGAAAATATACATAAATTATTCTGATAATACAGCAAAATATCTCATAGCATAAAACTTATTATGTAAATTCTTAAAAACCAAGAGGCAATTGAAGATATAGTTTTTTATCATAATTCTTAAATTACATTTACAACTGGTACATACAATGAGTTCTCCCATTATTTTGCAGATAGTTCAAGAACTGAAACTCTAAAAGCATCAAAATCCTTTCTATAAATCTTAAAACAAACTAAAGCAATTTCTAAATTTAGGAAACATGGGGTATAAAACTACATATGCTCTGTAAAATATTTTTCTTCACACATAAAAATAAAAGACATATACTTCACAAATAAAGTACCAAAGTCAAAACTGTCTCATCCTTAAGAGAGCAGTCTCTTGAAAAATGATTTAGAATTCTTACATTCCCAGCACGAGTCTGGTAGTCTGTTTTTAAAGATTATCCTATTCAAATTTCATATATATATATATATATATACACACACACACATATTTTAAAAATCTCATGGTATCAAGTTGCTAGAAAAGTTCTGATACTGGTAAATTGAATAATTAATTCAAATAATCAGGCAAAATTGAAGAAGTGATTTACCTGACAACTAATTTTTAACAAATTTCAAATCCAAAACGTGAAATAATCATCAGTTAACTTTTACTTCAGAAAAATACAGCGTTACTTGGGAACAAAGACATTTTAGTATAAAAACTTTCCAACAAACTCAAATATTGGCATTCCAAAGATACAAAATAATTCTTTGGCTAATATCCTTCAAAAGTCAATGTCCTAATATAGGTCTGGGTGATGATGTATATTCTTCCCACAGAGAGCTGGTGGATGTTGGGATAGGCTCACATGTAACACTGGAATCAGAACTTAAAGCCAAGCCTTCAAGCTTGAAGGTCACATGGAGCATTTGCTCTCATCATTGATCTACTCCGCTACCTAGGTCTCCTAAATCACATCTATATTTAGGAGAATGAAGATGAAAATTTAACCAGTTTAGATATGAATTAAATGTAGAGTAATCAAACTCTCAGACTGGCAGGAGCTGCTCCCAAACATTCTCTACCAACTACTATCACAAAATTTTTAAACTACTTATGTCATCTTACAAACATGACAATTTTTGGCAAGCCCATGTTTAGTAATTTCCTTTGCTTACGCTATATAGAGATGTAATAAAACCCACTGATGATTACCTTCAAGTTCCTGTTGACCTAAGATATTTTAATATCTCCTCCCATTTCCAGAGTAATTTCCAAAGTCTGGGAAGGAATGTTTCCACTAATAAATTCCTTTCAATTGAATGTTATACCACCATGCAGTAGGCAACTGGGAGCAATAATCCATTTCTGCCCATCACAGAATTTTTCAAAATCTCTTACTGCTGACCAAAAAACAAGCTCTTCTTCATAAGTTCCACATTAAATCAAGTCAACAATTGAGTAGCATGGTTTTACTCTTGGGAAAATACTTACCAAAACTTGAATAACTGGTGTCTATCTTTTATTGTATACATATTTAAATACATTATATATAACACATATTATGTGTTTAAATACTTATTAATACATTATGTATATATACAATGTATAAAGTATAATTATATACCCATTACAGAGTAGACTTTATCATGCTAACCATCACAATTAAATCATAATGCCCAGCTAGAGTTTTTATTTTAAATACAAACTTACCCCATTCTAGGTATTCAAGAATGTTCTTCTCTCTTCTCAATGGAGAATTATTGCATTCATCATAAAGGCAGATGAGTATATCCAGTAACGTTTCCACACTGAAGCACTGCCCATTGGTCTGAGCGGGCCCATCCAAAATAAACTGCTCCAACTGCCTCAAACGCACTTCTCCGGACATGTTTGCTTTATTTCTGCTGGTTTTTCTTTCAATTACTATAACGATTTTTACTATGATTATTTGAACCTAAATTTTAAAAGGTGTGGTTTTAAAAAATAAACCACTTGTTATTCAAACAACTGTCATGCAATGCCGGGGCTGAATTCAACATCCAACACACCAGTAACTCACTTAACTGTAGCGTCTTCAATTTCGCAAATATACATATATTTGAGGGAAAGTTACCGTAAAATACACATTTAACACATTTTAAAAAGAATAATTAAGTTGTATATTTAAATAAAATAATTAAAAGTACAGCGAACCAAAAAGTCAACACTTCTTTAAAAAAAAAAAACTCTTCTCCTTCATTCAAAATTCAACTCGTGCAACATAATCCTGAAACGAATCCGGTTGCATCATTAATGAATTAAGTCCGATGTGCATCAGCAATTCACTTCCCAGGAAGAAAGAAAATCGAAAAGGGAGGAAAAAAACAGAATGTATATAAGGGGGAGGGAAAACCAAAAATTCTGCTGCAAATCCTCCCAACCACCACTTGGATAACGCATCAGCGGCAATTTCTCCAGCGGGAAAGGGAGGGGGCGAGGTCCCTGAAGCAGCCCCTCGGCTCGGAGGACGCCAAGTCTTGCCCGAAGGAGGCTTTTCGTTTCTCCTCCCGAGGTCCTTCTTTTTAAGGCTTTGCAGTCAGTCCTATTTCCAACGGATTCCGATGAAAACTCTTCATTTTCCTCCCCGCTTCACCCAGGGGCCTGACTGGCTGCGGCGGCACTCGCCCCCGGCTCCGGGAGCAGCGGCTACTCGGCCGCCTGAGC